AACTGTCCTTTATTCCCCATCCAGGCACATACTGAAAGAATTCTTGGGAGCATAGTTTAGCCTAGAGAAATTGACACACTGCAAAGTTATTATTGACCCTCAATTTGCGATGTGTCTCTCCTATCTATCCTGCATCTATCAATCTCCCTTCAGCTTCTGTTCTGAAGAGGATATACAGCCTCTTACTACCAAGTATATTTTGCTTCTTCCAGAGTACCAGCGATAGCAGGAATGTCATGAATTTGAAGGATAACAAGTGGTCAGAGATGGCATGGAGCATATTGTGCATAGTTCTCAGTAATAAACAAAACAGAAAATTTAGCATTTCATTTTGAGTGGGATCTTATATCTTACCTCTCTAAATTTATTCCCTGCCATGCTTGTTGCTTACTGTCTTGATGCCAAACTGAAAGCACTTGTCTGTTTTCCACCTGTGGGGAGGCCTTTGCCCATTCTATTCCCCTGGCCTGGCATGCTAGCTACAGAATTTCACAGGACTTTCTCCATTGGTTCATTCAGGTCTGATCTATGATCACATCCTTGTTGGTCACTCTTTATGCCTTCATACTACTTCACTGTTATTTATTTCTAGAACTAATTACTACTTTAAATTTCATTATATGTTGGCTTACTTCATTATTTTCTGCTCTCCCTACTTCATTATTTTCTGCTCTCCCTCTACAATTAAAGCTCCTTGAAAGTGGGAGATGTCTCTCTTTAGTTCAACATTGTATGTCTAGCAGTCAGAACTTTACTTAGCACTGTCAGTAGAATGTGCTTCATTCTGAGGTTTAGCTTAAATGAATGAGTGATTGAAAGTTCTCAAACATTAATGGAAGAATCCCTAGGCATTTGTATATCTTAATATGGAATAGATAACTTAAAATTTTTCAATGAATATTATTTCACTAATGCTAACAAGACAAAGGCAGTTTTTTTAATATTAAAAAAGATAAGTTTCACAGCTAATTATATTTTGAAAAGTTTTTTGAATATAGAATGATTATTTACTTATTAATGGGAATTTTTAGTATCCTAAATAGTAACTCTGAGTTGGAAAAATTCAGAGAGACCCAAGTTGGATCATAGTTCCATCACTTCTCAACTATGTGACTGTGAGCCTCAGGTTTTATTGTCTTTCAAGTGGAGATAATATTGGACACATATATTTTAATGAGGATTACATGAGGTCCATATACAGTAAATTCTCAATGAATGCTATCTATTCATTTCTTATCCATTGTAATATAGATAGATTTTCACAAAGAAGTTACATATAATCTTATTTAATAATTAGTATTTAGAACAGGCTGTCTATAAAATACGGATAACAGCATCCTTTCATTGCATTGAATATTTAATTTTAAATGATATGCCTAATTTTATTTTTTATTAAAACGTTTTGCATGGCACAACCACGAGAATGGCTAAATTATAAGAAAGGTCAGAAAAAAACAAGTGTCACTGCCAAATATCAAGAATATGAAGCTAACTAGATATTCACCCAGAGGCCGTATGTCCCATCTTGCTGTGATACTCTAGGGTGACACCTGTTGTTATTGTATAAGTAATGGCATCTCCTTTCATTCTCAAAAGTATATTGGTTCGGCTTGTGAATTTTATTGTTGACTTAATTGAAATAAACAACATGAAGGTTGGGAAGAGAGGCCTAACTATAGATATTTCAGAGATTAAAAAAAGATTAAAAGGATATTACGGACAATTGCATACTTGTGTATTAGAGAACTTAGATGAAATAGATTTATTCATTTTAAAGCAATATGTTAAAATTGACAACTGTATATATAAAACTTTATAAATGTAAAACCTATAACTATATATATATAATGTATATTATATATACACATATGTAATATATATAGTATATATATAAAATTTGAATAGTCTTAAAAATCATTAGAGAAGTTGAATGTGTTAAACATCTTCTGACAAAGAAAATACCTGAGACGGTAATATCCAAGAATAAATAATCCAATTTTAATATAATCCTCACAGAGAGAGAAAAAGAATCTCTCAATCTTCATGAGGCAAACATAACTTTAATAATAACATTAGATAAGGATAATCTAAAACAACAAAAAAAGAGAAAGTAAGAAAGCATCCTTACTTGAGAACATAGGTACACAATCCTAAACAAAATATTGGCAAAGCAAATATAAATATTTTTCTTCATAAGAAATCCAAAGGGGTGATCTAATGGACATATATAACATATAACTCCCCCCAAATAGAAGAATACACATTTTTGTCAATAACAAATTGCTTATCTCCAGTCTAAGTCTTTCCTCTTAGATAAAATCCACAAATTAAACTCTTCATTAGAGTGATCTGATTGGATAAAACTGTAAGCCCATCAAATTCAAAATTTCCATAACTGCATTTATCTGATGATAATTAATAAATCTTTCCCACATCCTCTTTTTTCCTACTTCAACCACTTCACCAAGCAAGAACTCTTGAAGTCATCATAAAATACTTCTATCCCTAGGCCGGAGACTTCCAACTGGTTACTGAGTCCTGCCAGTTCTATTGTTGACATGGCTCCATCTCCAGTGGTAATACCTCAGTAGGACCCTTGTTATTACCATGTAGACCAGCGTTCCCCAACCTTTTTGGCACCAGGGGTTGGGGACCCCTGATGTAGACCACTGCAGCTACCTTTGATGTCATCATCCTTTTTACCCATTTTACCCAGTCTTGAAACTCCTGCAGATTTATCTCTTTAATATGTGAATCTGATCATTGCTGTCTACTTAAAACCTTTTTGTGTTTTTCTATCCCCTTCAGTATTAAAATCTAATGTCAACAATATTTAGTGGGTTTCTGGCCCCTGACTTCTAGATATGTTACCATATTCCTATACACTATGCTCTACTAATACTAAATTACTTGCAACACCTAAAAAATAGCATATTAATTTATGTTTCTTTGCTTTTACAAATACTCCTTCTTCTGCTTGTAATATTCTTTTTTCTTTCTTAAATGGTTGATCCATATTTTCTTCAAAGAAGCCAATCCCAGGAATCATCTATTTTCGAGATTCTTCCCAACTATTTTTTACGTTTCTCATGAAACCTCCTTTCCCCCTTTTCCATTCCTACAGTACTTATCACACTATAGTTTAATTTTCTTTTTATTTATTTTTTCCTATCTAGACTGAAAGCTCCTTGAAAGAAGGGATCATTGCTTGATGCCTGTGTTCACAGTGCCTAGCATATGCACTCAATGAAGATTTGTTGAATAAGTGACAAATGAATATAAAGTAGAATATGAAAGCATATGTACTAGTATACATATGTACACTCAAAATTTTGAAAGTGATTCTGTTTTGACTAAATATGAGATAATTTTTCCTTTTAGTACCCTCCTTAGTTTGTTTTTCGAGAAATAATGTGTACATATGCAGTTCTTAAGGTAGAAAAATCATTAATATAAAAATTCACTGTTGAATGAGTTAAACAAACAAACTCAGCAAAAGAGATCAGATTTGTGGTTACAGAGGCCAGGCGAGGCAGGAAGTGGGGGTAGGAGGAATTGGATGAAGGCTGTCAAAATCTACAAACTTCCAGTTATAAGACAAGTAAGTACTAAGGATGTAATGTACAACATGATAAATATAATTGACACTGCTGTCATGCTTGAAAGTTGTTAAGAGAGTAAATTTTAAGAGTTCTCATCAAAAGAAAAAAATTTTTTTCTATTTCTTTAATTTGGTATCTATATGAGATGAAGGATGTTCACTAAACTTATTGTGATAATCATTTCACGGTGTATGTAAGTCAAATCATTATGCTGTACACCTTAAACTTATACAGTGCTGTGTGCCAATTACATCTCAATAAAACGGGAAGAAAAAAAATAATAAAATGACTTCCTGGTTTGGGACTCAGGGTCTTTCACCACACAGGAAAAATTAGAACAGGAGCTGGTTTGGGGTCGGGTGGTAGAGAGGAGGAAGAAGATTTAGCAAGTGATAGGGCTAAGGTATCATGGTCAGAATACAATGAATTTTTCTTGAGGCATATCAGTTGTGGTAAGAAAGGATCATATAGGAGGGTAAATGGGGACGTCTGGGGGCAAGACAGCACCCCATTTTTGTCCAGTTTCCCTTTCCTTCCTTCTTTCCTTCCTTCTCTCCCTCCAGTCCTTCTTTCCTTTCTTTTCAAGGAATATGTACATGTGGTTTAAATACATAAATATATAAATATATATATATGTGGTTTAAATATATATATATATCACAAAAGAGAATAAGATGAAAAGCAACAGTCCCCTCACTTCCTATCTCCTGCCCCTCTCCAGAAGCAACCCCTTTAAACTACTTCAGCCGTTTTTTCTTGTAGTCTCTGTATCTAAATACAGTATGTATATGCCTACCAGTAGTCCTTCAATCATCAACTCTAGATTTTGTCTATTGACTTTTACTATGGTGTATGATAATTCATTTCCCTTTCAGTTTTAAAGTGGGGAGATAAGTAAGTCCTAAATTTCCTGATGAATCCCTGATTCCAGCAATAATTACCTTTATTGAGCACTACGTGAAAGACACAGTTGTAATCACTTTGGATATATTAACTCATTTAATTACAAGCTCAGTTACAAGGACGGGGCTAATAACAAAACCAGGAAAACAAAGATTTAAAAAACAGGGAGAAAAAAAGACAATGCTAGGCCTTCCCCACTGAAAAACGTTAAGGGTGAATGAAATAGCAGTTAGAAAAAAAAAAAAAGTACAGCTTTGAGGCACTAAAATTGCAACCGGCTCCTTTAATTCCCCGCGGCAGGCGGGGCGTGGCGCCAGGTGGCCTACAATGAAGGCCCCTTCAAGCTGGCAGCGCCCTACCAAGCCTGTGGCTTTGTAAGAGCCCGGGCCACGTGACGGAGACAGGCGGCGCTCTTTCTCCGCGCAATCTCTATGGTATTCTTCTCAGCCCACCCGCCCCTAGGGAAGCGGCAGTCACGTGACAAGCTCCGGGTTTACGGCAGGTGTCCACGTGACCCTGGCCTGCAGTAGGGTGGCTGCGGTGAGGTACCTGCGCTCGTGAAGGGTGGGTGGTTAGGTCGTAGCCACCGCAACCTCCGGCGGACTCTCCCGAGCGGCCAGGCTCGGGAAAAACGAGTCGACTGAGGCATTCATCGCTTAGTGCCTACGGCACGGGTCTGTTCTTTATGCCACCTCCGCCTTCCTCGTCCCCACCTCTTTTCGGGTGAAGTCCCCTTTGGGTTTCGAGACCTTGGGGCCTGAGGCCCAAACTCGAAACGAACCCCCCACCCATCCCTCTTTCCTTCTCATCCTCCATCTCTCCCTTTGCATCACCGAATCACTTAGCCGTTGAGCTGGCCAGCTCGGCGGTGCCTTGAGGCCAAGTTCGAGGCGGTAAAGGTAACGGTGGGGAAAGCAGCCCCCCAGTGGACAAAGGTGGAGGCAAGACTAGAGCAGGCCTAGGGGCCGCAGGCAAGGAGAATAGGCGGCTGAGGGGGTGAACAGGAAAAAAAAAAGAGAGAGAGTACTGCGGATTTAGAAGGGACTGGAAAGGACTTGTTGCACAATGGAAGAATCTGACTCTGAGCAAAAGATGGAGAAAGAGAATCTGGGGACGAGAATGGATCCTCCCATAGGGGAACCGGAAGGATCGCTTGGGTGGGTGAAGGGTATTAAGTCAAACCTGGAAGGGAGGGGGCAGGGGGGACGTTCTAACTGAAGAGAGTATTGTGAATTAGAATACCCCACCTATGATAAATTCTTTCGATTTACCAGTAAGGTTGCTTTTGGTGATTGGATAAACTAGTAAGAGGTCTGGTTGCTAACTGGGGAGAAACAATCCTTAGGACAGGCCTGATATCACTCCGGGGAGGGGCAAGTGTTCTAATTGAGGAGGCAGTTCTGAATTGCTTTGAATTGTCAATAAAGGAGATTTTATGTCATCATGTTGACGATAAGAAGACTAGGAAGAGGGTTGGCTTTTCCTGAGCAGAGATCAGTGACTGGAGAGTGCTTTCTGTGCCAGTTTATACCTGAATTCGAGAATTTATATACTTTGTGCCTGTGATGAGTGAAATATGACTTGGAAGGACAGCTGAAGGACTTAAGATTTTTAGAAATATGCTGACTTTGAAAAACAGGATATTCAAATATGACAATATTGTTTGATTTATTAAAGCATTTGTAAATATTGCTTTGATAAATTTTTTAAGGTGATAAAAAATTGAATCTTGAATTTTAATGGCTCATTTATATTCCTAAATAAATCTTCCTAGGAGCTATTTCCTGAGCACATAATTAGGGGAGAGGGAGCATAAACCCAGTTTTATAATTTAGGAAAATGAGGGCCTCTACCTAACTGAGGTCCCCCACACAGCTGTACTCAGCTGTTGTACTAAATGCTCTTTTGCACCTCTACGTTAATTCCAATTTCTAAGGCAACTGGATCATGGAAACTCTGTCTTTTGGTTTATATCTGCAGGTGGGTGCTACCAAATACAGCCATGAAGAAAAAGGTAAGACATGTTAGGTACATCAAAAACATGAAGGTAAAGGTAAGAAGTTACTGTTCAGGAAGCATATTTGTGGTCATATCTGCCATCTTTCCTTGACTGTTGTAGGAACCTTCTACATGTTCTTCCTGACTCTTGTCCCCTTCTTTGCTATCAGATTTAATTTTTCTAATATAGAAATCTAAGTAAGTCATTCACATACTTAAGAACTTTTTGTAACTTCCTGAAGCCCATAGAATACAATCCAAAAGATTTCATCTCATAGAATGCCCTTTAAAAATCTATTCCTGACTAAACCATCAGCCATACCTTTGCACCCTATCATAGCCATGCAGAATCTGTTTTTCTCCAAGTTTACAAATTAATTTGCATTTTGTGCAAGCCATACATACACACTACACAGGCCTCTGCTTGCACATTTATGTTGAACCCAACTCAAATGTTATCGCTATTAGGTTTCATGTGAGTTTTCCAAATGGAATTGAACACTCCTTCCCTTGTGCTCTTATGGTACTGTGCCTCACCTTGGGGTTTAAGAAGAATCGATAAGGGCACAGTTCTAGAGTAAGTTTCTGAATCTTTTGGGCTTTCAGTTTCTCCATTTATAAAATGGGGATAATAATGTTACCTGTCTCATAGAATTATTATGAAGTTTTTAAACAAGCAAATGCAGGTAGAGCACTTAGATTAGTACTTAATACAGTTAGCCTTGATAAGTCTTTCATAAGCTATTAAAGTAAGATTTCTTAAACAACAAAAGCTCATAAAAAAGAATGAAATATTGCCATTTGCAGCAATATGGATGGACCTAGAGAATGTTATGCTTGGTCAAGTCAGAGAAAGACAAATGCTATATGATATCACTTATATATGGAATCTAAAAAATAATACACATGAATCTATATACACAATAGAAACAGACTCACAGACATAGAAAACAAACTAGTGGTTACAAAGGGGAGAGAGACAAATTAGAGGTATGAGAGTAACAGACACAAACTACTATACACAAAATACATAAGCAACAAACATTTACTGTATAGCACAGGCAATTATATCCAATATCTTGTAATAACCTATAATGGAATATAATCTGCAAAAAGAATGAATCACTGTGCTGTATACCTGAAACTAACACAATGTTGTAAATCAACTATACCTCAATTAACAAAAAAAAGAAATACACTGTATTTAGCCTTAACTTTATCTAATAAGTCAGTTATATAACTTCAGTTTGCTAAGGAAATGTTCTTGATGAGCCGGTCTAAAGTTGCTATCAACAAGGATGCCTAAAAATACCAGAAATTTGTAAATGATAAAGAATAAAAGCAAAATGTTTCTCTAACAGCTTTAGACTATATCCTCAGTAATGTTTCCTTAGTGAGATAAAGTTATCTAGCTAAATAGATTAAGCCTGAGTGCAGTACCCTTTTATTAATACTCCCTATATTTGTAATTAGAAATTTTTATAAAATATCTTGGAATTGAAGATAGAACATGTATCCTCTCATTTGAAAATCAAGGTAATTGGAATTATATTTCATAAATTTTGAGTTAGAAAAGACTCTTAAAAGTTACCTCACCAAAAAAAAAAAAAAAGTTACCTCACCCAATTTCCCCCCTAGTGCAAGAATCTACAGCATCTTTGATAGGTGTTTTTCTGTCTTCGTTAAATGCTATCATTGACAAGAAGGTGTTTACCTTCACCCTTTCCATTGTTAAAAAATTGCTTGTTTTATATCTTTGTTTTGATAGCTTGCTCATTCTTTTGATGAACATATTTTGAGCATCTGTTATATGTTAGGCACTGAAAACTCAAAGGGGATTTTCCCTGCCATTCAGGCGCTCAGAGTCTTGTGAGAGACCAAAAAAACAAATTGGAAAACTGCAGTGCATTATGGTCTTAGCAGTGTCGTAAGAGTGTCATGGGAAGACAGAGGTGAAATACATCTAAGCCAGCCTAGGGCATTGGGATCAGAGAAGTTCTTGAGATGATTACTGAACCAAGACTTGAAGGGTAAGTGGAGCTTAGCTGAAGGAAGAAAAGGGAGTGGAAAGTTACTGGCAGAGAGTTCAGCATGAAAAAAAGACCTGGAGCAATCAAAGGGACTACAAGCAGTTCAGTTCAGTATGGCTGGACTCTCGACAAGTTCCAGGCTAGGAGCGTCAGAAGATGAGGGCAGAGGAGTAGATAAGCCAGATCAAGGAGGGTCTTATATGTAGTTTAAAGACTTGATCCTGTAGGCAATGGGACGCTCTTGAAAAGAGTAATTAATGGAACAAAATCATGAAGGTAAGTAAAAGGGATGAAATTAAGGGCAGAGGTGGTCAGGTTGATCCTGAGGAGGAGAAAGAACTTTCAGTTATACTGAAATACCCTGCCAGATAGTTCAGTGCATAAAACATTACATTATGAGAGTTCCTCTCAAGTTGATATTTTGCTAACATAGTACTGAATGCATGATAGTATATATTAATAGCATAATAAATTCACTTTGATTCTATCACCAAGAGAATGTGTGACTCATGACAGGCAAGTGGCTGGGCTCTGGAATTCTCGGTACCTCTGCATTCACCACTGGTCAGAGAACTAGTCAGTTACAAGTATCCACTCTATGTTATTAGTACTGTCACTTCAGTGAAACATCAAGTGCAAGAGAGAAATAGATCCCTTTAGACTTGATTTGCTCTTGATCGCTGACTTCTTTCCTTTCTTTTTTCCCATTTTGTCCTTAGGTGCTGTTGATGGGTAAAAGTGGGTCTGGTAAGACCAGCATGAGGTCTATTATCTTTGCAAATTATATTGCAAGAGACACACGTCGCCTTGGTGCAACAAGTAAGATGTTTTATCTTATTGTAAAGTCAGGTGATCTTAATAATTCGCATAACACACTTGGTTGCAGTAACTTGGGGATGCAGAGATTGACAGATTTGTTTCTGAGCATGTTTCCTTTTTTTTCATTCCTTCTCAGAAGGATGTAACCTAATTCTGGTTACTACTGCTTGCTCTCTTGGGGAGGTTCTTTCCTTTCTAGGTTGGTTACCAAATGGGATAACCTTGTCCAACTTCGTTTTTATCCTGCTCTTTCTCAACAAGCATAGGGGTCCTTTTGTTTGTTCACTTTTTAGGAGGGGGAGGGTGTTTGTTTTTAATAGTTATTATATAAACAGAAATTAATTTATAGGCATTAACAAGCATAACATTAAAATCTAAGATTTTATAAAGCTGTAGTCCTAGTCTTCATTAAAAGGTAAATTGTTGGGTTTGGGAGGCTGTCAGAGGGAGGTTACCCAGATCTGTACTCTGCTACTTCTCTTCCTGGATACATATAGATGTTTTCTTTGGAGTTACAGCTTTGACTTGAGAAATGTTTCCTTGCCCTTTATGGTTTGAATGTTAAATCTGGTTTCTTAGTATAGGCTAGTTGGGCTGCCATGGCTGCCAGTTCAGTGGATCTATGCTCCTGGGAGACCCTTTCAGTATTTAGGCTATAACGCCTTTTCATTTTGTAGCACCTAAGGGTTTCTGGATTCTTCCTTGGTCCTTGGCCTCTAGGTGACGAAACCACTGCTCTACCTGGCTTTCAAATTTTCCTGATCTGGGTTGCTAGCATCTTGGACACTTTTAGGGACAAGCCACCCACTACTTCATAAGGTATCTCTGGTTTCAAGAACAACAAACATTTTTAAAACACCCTATGTTCCAGAACCTAGGATACAAAAGAGAAGGGAACCTCATTTCTGTTCTTAACATGCTTGGAGTGTAGAATAGACTCATAATTAGGGAAGCTTTAATGATTAGAAAGTTATTTCTTAGAGCCCTGAATCTATTTCCATTTATTTTTGTTAGCTGGTACCCTTTCTGTTCTCTTGAGCCTATGCAAATATTTTAGTATGATTAATGTCTCAATCTATCCTAGCCATTCCTTGCCTCCCAAATCTTATCTTCCTTAAGTTAAATATCTCCAGCTCCTTCATCTATTCCTCGTTTGACATCATTTTGAAGCATTTTTAAGGACTTGTTAGAATATGTCTATATTTTTTAGTGATGAGACTTAAATGAAGATGTGGTCTAATCAGAGCAGAGTAGGACTGTTACATCTCTTGTTCTATAGGCATCACACTACTGTTAGCACAGTCTAGCCCCTACTCTCCTGTGGAGCAGCCTTCATCATACTGAGTCATACTAAAAAAAAGAAAATTCCTTTTCACATATATTTTTATTAAAACAACATATCCTCCTTCTGATTCTTGTGAAGTTAATATTTTGAACCTAAGAATAAATGCTTATCTCTATTAAATTATTCAGTTTTGATTGTTTTAGCCCATGAAAGGTTAACTTAATTCCAGAACAAGTTACTATCTCACTGGGCGTCAGTTTCCTTATCCATAGAAAAGGGGTTGGATCCTATTTTCATTTTAGCTACTTATTCTCTCATTTGATATGTTAGCAATCCTTCCTAGCTTTGTGCAGTTTGTACACTTGATAAGCATCTCATCTAGTTTTCATCTAAGTCATTTATCAAAAATTTTGGTCAGGACAGGGTCCTATGGCCTGTTGTGCCTCAAGAGACTTCCTTCTAGAAAGTACCTGTCCAAACTTCTCCCTGTTTTGTATTTTAATTTTTTTCTATTTTTCCAAGTTTAATATCTAGACCTAATAATCACATGGTTTCAGTAGATCAGAGGAAGCTAATGTTTATTGTATGGTGTTTTATTTACTTTAGTTCTCATATTAACTTCATTTTAATAGGTGAAGAAAGTATGACTTAGAAGTTAAGGTCACGCAACTCATAAGTGTTAGAGCTAGAATGTCAATCTATGCTCCTGCTTTATTCATTGTTCTACAGCCACAATTCCTGGCAGACTTCTTTCTGTTTATGTTTTAAATTCTGCACATTTCATTGATGTACTTTTTTCTAGTCCAATTAATATTTTTGTTTTTAGCTAATCAGCAGAGTGGATTGACTACCTAAGTCTGGTGAATAGTCTTAAAACCCAAATTTCAGAGCTAGTCAAGCTATTTAATAGTTTTGAAATAATCTAGCAGATTTGTTAAAAAGTTATGAACAGAATGTTGCAAATTATATGAACCCTGTACATGAAGCAGGCCATTTGTTTTAACAAGTGTTTTTCTGGAGCCTCCTGTGGATGGGACAAGGCTCTTGACCTTAAGAATATCTCAAGTGGATCTTTATCAATAATACTTTGTTAGCAAGTGCTGTATTTCTTAAAGGTGATAAAAGTATACTTCAAAATATTATGTTGGCCTGATGCTTTAGTGTATCACTAGCTAGTTTGTCATTGCTGAAGAAAGGTCTTGGTTCTACTTGCTAAACTTATAGACTAATTAAAAATACATATAGTGTATTGATTTTTACTTAACTATTTTTGTGAAGTTGCTGATTTTCTTTAAAAGTAGTGAAAGAGTACTTATTCTAAAATATTATATCACCTTGAAGGTTTTAGTGTTTCTCTAGTTTGTCATTGCTGAAAAAAGTCCAGGTTCATTTTGTTAAACTTAGAGTGTACTTTGTTTTGAAATTTGAAGTAAGGATACAGAATGGTGGTATTCATTTATCAGGGGGCTGTTAAAATGTGTTTGTTGGAATAGTAAACTTGTCGATAAAAATGTGATTATGAAGTATTTTAGTCTCAAACACTGTTGACGGCTCCAAGATTTCCTGCCTTCTCAAAATTCTCTGATCCCTTGGCTTTTATTTAATGCTTTATTACCCTGGTTTTATTCCTTTATCTTTAACCATCCCTTCCTTTTAAAAAAATGAATATTTTCTTCTTTCTGCCCCATAAGTGTATGTGATTTCCCAAAGCTCTGTTCTTGGTTCTTTTCAGTTGCTGTTGTGATAGCAGGACAGGAAGATTAGGAGAGCCAGAGGGCCCTATAGGAGACCTGAGACTAAAGAGGGAGGCAGAAATTGGGGGTTAGATCATAAAATGCCCTGTAAGCCAAGTCAGGTTGTTTAAACTGAGGGTAGAAGGCAACCCTTAGAGAGTTTCAAACAGAAAAGTAATATGGTCAGATTTCAATATTTTTAATTTTCAATTTTAATTAGAAAAGTAATACTTGTGAAAGATTCAAACATTGCAGAAGTGTAGAAAGTCTACTCTGTTCCTCATTCTCAGGCCTACTTCCTAGGGACAACCACCATTAGTAATTTGAGGTTATCCTTTTGGCCTTATGTTTTCTGGGTATATACAGTAATATATAGACAGAGACATGTTATTTTTTTTTCTTTTTAAAGAAGAATGAAATAAAATCTGCACTGTGGAGAGATCATTATACCTGTAATATAAAGGATAGTTTGGAGGGAGGCAAGGGAAGAAACAGATTGACAGATTAGGGGACTGTTTTTAGTAGACCAGGTAAGAGATTATAGGGGCTTAACTTGGGTTAGGGTGGTAATAGTGGATGTGGTGAAAAGTAAATGGATTTGGGATATTTAAAAGGTAGAGTCAATATGACTTGCTGGTAGGTTTGGGGGGAATGATGGGGGAAAGACTGGACTCAAGGATGAAACTTAGTGTTTGGCTTAGGCATCTGGTTAAATTCACTGAGTTAAGGAGGACTGAAAGAGGAATAGATTTTGTGGGAAGAATGGGCAGATGATGAGTTATATTTGGATACATTGAGTTTGGGATACTTGTGGTTTATGCAAGTAAAGATGTCCAGTATATGATTCAGAAAGGGAAGAGAGAAATCTGTATTATAGATACATGTTTATGGATTATCAGTATCCAAATGGTAAATAAGATGATATGAATTGATTAGCTTGCTTGGCGGAAAGAATACATAGAGAGAAGAGTAGGTGGCCAAAGATGGAATCCTGAATAACTCCAGCATTTAAGGGACAGAAAGAAGAATAGGAGCCTGTGAAAGAGGACCTGCCAGAGAGGTTATAGGTAATGCTCTCAGAGGCCAGGAGAAGAGAATTTTTTGAGAAGAGAGTAGTCAACAGTGTCATGCTGCAGATAGTAAGACAAGGACTAAAAAGTCCATTGGATTTGGTAATGGGGCCATTGGTCACTTGATGAGAGCAATTTCTATGATATGGGAGTAGAAACCAGATTTCTATCCCATGTGCTCCATATCTAAACAGTCGCTGAATCCTGTCACTTCTTTTATTATTGTCTTTCCCTTTCTCAGTAGCACTTCTTTCCATTTTTTTTTAGTACTAGACCGTTTACATAGTCTTCAAATTAATAGCAGTTTGAGCACCTACTCTCTCGTAGACTCTGTTGGAAATACAAAGACATGTAAGATATGATTCCTTTTCCAAGGAGGGGGAAGTAAAGGGGAGAAGGGAAGTAGTTTGAGCACCTACTACGTGCCAGGCACTTGATGTATAATAATTCCTGTAATCCTCACAGTAATGTGAGGTCAATAGTATGCCTCCCACCTTTTTTTTAACAGAAGAGGAAACTAATACTCAGAGGTTAAGTGACTTACCCAAGGTCACACAGAGAGGTAGAGCTGATATTTGAACTAAGAACTGTTTGACTCCAATGTCCATGTTTTTTTTAAGTAATGCTTTGCTGCTTATGATCTAGTTTATGAGAAGATAAAATTGCACAAAAGTTAGATAGCAGTCAATTTAAGCAACAGCTGCAAGGTAGTCGTAGAAGAAACACCACTGTGTGATGTTTAACTGTTACATAAATTGTAAAGATGATAATTGCTAGACTTTGAGAAATTTCCAGGATAAGAATTTTCATTATTGTTCCTTGTGATTTTTAGTGCCTGGCAGAGAGTAGATGCTTACTAAATGTTTAAATGAATTCAGAGGGAGTGATGATGGTAAGTGGGGGTGGCCAGGTAGGGCTTTTAGAGGAGGTGGGATTTAAGCTGGGTCGTAGAAGATGAATCTAACTTTGGAAGAAAGGTGGGGAGGACTTTCTAGGCAGATGGACACAGTAAGCAAAGGGTGGGGAGGGAGGTGTAAGGCAGAGGTCGCAAACAGGCAGCCCGTATGCTGGATAAGGCCTGTAGATGTGTTTTGTTTGGCCTATGTAATGTTTTAGAAAAATTGGAATTAGCTATCAATATGTAAAAGTTTCCATAAAAAATCTGGATTTCCTACTACTATTGAAAAATTTAAAGATCTGGTAATCCTGAGCCCACGTTCCTGCATGGCAAATGAGCTAGAGCTGTGTAACTGCTACCCACTCCATCGTCCCCTTGGGTGGATATTTACTCTCCATACGTGATCAACTTCACTCTTGTACGTTTACCGGCCTGGCTCCTATTAGCAAGTTTGCGACCCCTGATGTAAGGTATGTTGGAGGTTGGGGTGGTAGAGGGGTTTGGGAGGACTATGAATAAACCAAATTGGACTGGAGCGAAAGGCTTTGTTAATATGAATCATTGGGGAACATAAAGGTATATTGGAAGCCAAATTCTGAAGGACCTTGAATGCCCCACGTGTAGGTATGGAGGAGCCATTGAAAGTTTTTTGAATGGGGAGTGACATGTTCAAAGTAGTGTTAAGAAGATGAATCTTGCAGTAGCCTATAGGATGAAGTAAAGTGAGTAAGGCTTCCTGGTGGGAGGTAATTATGGAGCTACTGTAGTTGTATAGGCTTGCGAAGGTAAGGGCCTTCCTTAATGTTAGTAGCAGGTTGTAAAACAAAGAGTGGAATTGAGAGAGATTGCAAAGGAATAGCAATGAATTGAATGTGGACAGAGGAGTCAAAAATGACCCCCTCAAAATGGGAAAATGGTAGGGTCATTAACCAAAATAGGAAATCAATAGAGGGAGCAAGTTTGGTTATGTTTTATGTTTGTTTTGTATTTGGTTTTTGTTGTCTTTTTTTAATTTTTAAATTTTTTGTGGAGGGTGTTTATGGGTCAGAAAAGAGCTATTAAATGGTATATGTCTCTGTCTTACATGTTGAAATTTTAACAGTATTATAATTGGAGATTGTTTCTGCTCTAAGCACTAAAACAACTAAAAAGTAAAACGACTTACGTGAGAGCCAGTTCTGTAGCTCAGGGTAGTTTAGGTGCCCACCTTGCCACTAAACCACACCACTAAGCTGAAAATCACCTTCTTGTTGTAGCTTTGAGCATTTCACTCCACTTTGGTCCTTCTAAATTCCATGGGTTAGCACGTTGCTTATTTTGAGTTTCATCTCGCATGCTACAATTACTAGATTTGTCATGTTTGTCTTCCAGTTGATGTAGAACATTCTCATGTTCGATTTCTGGGAAACCTGGTATTGAACCTGTGGGACTGTGGTGGGTAAGTACCATCTGCTTAATTCTTCATGAGGCAAATGTCAATAATCATGGCATGTAGTATAACAGCACAGAGAATACATTAAAGTAACTATCATTTGTAATAGCTACATTAGATAGAAATTACTTCAGAATTGGCCCTTGATTAAATAAAGATCTCTGACTTTCATGTCATTGTGAAAATGCCCTCTGTATGTGACATGTTTAAGCAGCACTCACACAAGCTGTATCTAGGTATCTGTAGTATGGGATCGAACATTCTTCTCTTTTTCTGGTGAAGAAATTAGGTTTCTATCTCAGGTGGCCTAACATCAGTCCTGAGCTCTTAGCCATCACGCCATACCGCCTCATTCTTTGTTATTTCAATAATTATCTCCAGGCAGTCTAAGCACTGTTGATTGGACCTCAGTTCTCCAGCTGAGTTTCCCACTGTTGGAGGAATAGGAGACAGTTTCTCCTCTCATGTCCAGGACACTTCCAGAATATCCTATCATAAATACACATTCACTGTGCATATGGTGCTCCCTTGCATCTCTGTACTGAAGCAGCAATATGTAGTGCACAGTGGTTAGGAGCCTAAGCTATGGAGTTAGATTGGGGTTTGTATCTCAGCTCTGTTAGCTGTGTTATCTTGGATAGATCATTTAAACTCTCTGAGCTACAGTTTCTTCATCTGTACAATAGGAATAATGATAGTACCAACTCGTATGGTTGTTTTGATGATTAAGATTATATATATGTATATATATGTGTGTATATAATATATACATTATATATATATATATATATATATATAATCTCAAGAGCACCTACAAAATAAATGAATGTTATAATTAGCTCAGTGTCTCCCAGCTCCTCGTATAGAGACAGCCATGGAGTAGGTGCTCAATGAATATTTGTTGAAAGAATAACAAATAAGAAAATGACTTCCTTATTGCTAGCAGATGGATAACACCCTAGTAGCTTTCTCCATGTAAATCCTTCCTCAGTATCATTGCTTCCAATTCTGTAATCTGTGTCAAGAGATTAGTTCAAGTCCTTTGCTTTTAGGCACTAACGTTATTGTCATTTTTACAGATAAGGCACAGCTACTTAATACCAAAGTATAGGACTAGAAGCTAGGTTCATGATTTTTTTTAAAGGAACTGCTGTTTATTGAGAGCATGCTATATGCCAGGTTTCATGCTAGATTCTTTCCTGTAGGAAAGAAAATCTATAGATTTTCAGGATAGCCTTCAGAAATGTAGAAAACTAAATTCACCAGAAACCCCCACCCCAGTTCACTGATTATTCTGGTTTTCTAGAAATCTATTCAACATTCATTCAGCAAACATCTATTGATCACCTACCATGTACCACACAGTGAGCAAAGCATTGAAAGTTACACCATAGTAGATTAACATACACAGTATTTGGTGGCTATGACAAAAACCTTCAAAGTAAATATAATCTTTTTTCTTTCCTTTATTTATTTAGTTGTTTTATTTTTGTCTAGTTTTTAAGATTTAATTTTTGTTGAGGTAACATTGGTTTATAACATAAGTTTCATGTGTACAACATTATATTTCTACTTCTGTATATTTTACAGCATGCTCACAACCAAAAATTTAGTTTCTATCCATTCATCAGCATACAGTTGACCACCTTTACCCTTTCTTCCCTCCCCGCTTACCCTTTCCCTCTGGTAACCACTACTCTGTTCTCTGTATCTATGGGTTTGTTTTGTTTTATTTTATTTATTGTTTGTTTGTTTTTTTATATCATGGGTGAGATCATATGGTATTTGTCTTTGTCCATCTGACTTATTTCACTTAGCATAATACCCTCAAGATCCATCCATGTTGTTGCAAATGGCAAGTTTTCATTGTTTTTATGGCTGAGTAGTAGTACATTGTATATAGATACCACATCTTTTTTTTTTCCTAGTACAGTACTTTACTTCTTTAGAGCAGTTTTGGATTCACAACAAAATTGAAAAAAAAGTATAGATATTTCCCATTACCCCCTGTCTCCACACGTGCATAGCCTCTCCCATTATTAACATTCCCCATCAGAGTGATACATTTGTTACAAGTGATGAGCCTACATTGACACATGATTATTACCCAAAGTCTATAGTTTACATTAGGGTTCATTCTTGGTATTGCACATTCTATGTGTTTGGACAAATATGTAATGACATGAATCCACCATCATAGTATCATACACAGTAGTTTCACTGGCCTAAAAATCATATGTGCTCTGCCTATGCATCCCTCCCTCCACCCTAACTCCTGGCAACCATTAATCTTCTTAAAATCTCCATAGTTTTAACTTTTTCAGAAGGTCATAAAGTTGGAATCACACAGTGTGTAGCCTTTTCCTATTGGCGTCTTTTTTTTTTTTTTTCCTTATTTTCTTTTTGGCTGCACCACGCAGCATGTGGGATCTTAGTTCTCTGACCAGGGATTGAACCCATGTCCGCTGCATTAGAAGCATGGAGTCTTAACCACTGGAGCACAGGGAAATCCCCATATTGGCTTCTTTCACTTACTAATGTACATTTTTTAATATCTTTATTGGAATATAATTGCTTTACAATGATGTGTCAGTTTCTGCTTTATAACACAGTGAATCAGTTATACATATGTCCCCATATCTCTTCCCTCTTGCGTCCCTCCCTCCCACTCTCCCTATACCACCCCTCTTGGTGGTCACAAAGACTGAGCTGATCTCCCTGTGCTATGCGGCTGCTTCCCACTAGCTATCTGATTTATATTTGGTAGTGTATATATGTCCATGCCACTCTTTCACTTTGTCCCAGCTTGCCCTTTCTCCTCCCCATATCCTCAAGTCCATTCTCTGGTAGGTCTGTGTCTCTATTCCTGTCTTGCCCCTAGGTTCTTCATGACCATTTTTTCCCCTTAGATTCCATATATATGTGTTAGTATACAGTATTTGTTTTTCTCTTTCTGACTTACTTCACTCTGTATGACAGAATCTAGGTCAATCCACCTCACTACAAATAACTCAATTTCGTTTCTTTTTATGGCTGAGTAATATTCCATTGTATATATGTGCCACATCTTCTTTATCCATTCATCTGTCGATGGACACTTAGGTTGCTTCCATGTCCTGGCTATTGTAAATAGAACTGCAGTGAACATTTTGTTACATGACTCTTTTGGAATTATGGTTTTCTCAGGGTATATGCCCAGTAGTGAGATCGCTGGGTCACATGGTAGTTCTATTTTTAGTTTTTTAAGTAACCTCCATACTGTTCTCCATATTGGCTGTACCAGTTTACATTCCCACCAACAGTACAAGAGGGTTCCCTTTTCTCCACACCCTCTCCAGCATTTATTGTTTGTAGATTTTTTGATGATAGCCATTCTGACTGGTGTGAGATGATATCTCATTGTAGTTTTGATTTGCATTTCTCTAATGATTAATTATGTTGAGCATTCTTTCATGTGTTTGTTGTCAATCTGTATATCTTCTTTGGAGAAATGTCTGTTGAGGTCTTCTGTCCATTTCTGGATTGGGTTGTTTGATTTTTGATATTGAGGTGTATGAGCTGCTTGCAAATTTTGGAGATTAATCCTTTTTCAGTTGCTTCATTTGCAAAAATTTTCTCGCATTCTGAGGGTTGTCTTTTCGTCTTGTTTATGGTTTCCTTTGCTGTGCAAAAGCTTTTAAGTTTCATTAGGTCCCATTTGTTTATTTTTTTTTAATTTCCATTTCGCTAGGAGGTGGGTCAAAAGCATCTTGATGTGATTTATAGCATAGATTGTTCTGCCTATGTTTTCCTCTAAGAGTTTTATAGCATCTGGCCTTATATTTAGGTCTTTAATCCATTTTGAGTTTATTTTTGTGTATAGTGTTAGGGAGTGTTCTAATTTCATTCTTTTACATGTAGCTGTCCAGTTTTCCCATGACCACTTATTGAAGTGGCTGTCTTTTCTCCATTGTATATTCTTGCCTCCTTTATCAAAGATATGGTGACCATATGAGTGTGGGTTTTTCTCTGGGCTTTCTATCCTGTTCCACTGAACTATATTTCTGTATTTGTGCCAGTACCATACTGTTTTGATTACTGTAGCTTTGTAGTATAGTCTGAAGGCCAGGAGCCTGATTCCTCCAGCTCCATTTTTCTTTCCCAAGATTGCTTTGGGTATTCGGGGTCTTTTGTGTTTCCATATAAACTGTGAAATTCTTTGTTGTAGTTCAGTGAAAAATGCCACTAGTAGTTTGATAGGGATTGCATGGGATCTGTAGATTGCTTTGGGTAGTAGAGTCATTTTCACAATGTTGGTTCTTCCAATCCAGGAACATGGTATATCTCTCCATCTATTTGTATCACCTTTAATTTCTTTCATCAGTGTCTTATAATTTTCTGCATACAGGTCTTTTGTCTCTTTAGGTAGGTTTATTCCTAGATATTTTATTCTTTTTGTTGCAATGGTAAATGGGAGTGTTTTCTTAATTTCACTTTCAGATTTTTCATCATTAGTGTATAGGAATGGAAGAGATTTCTGTGCATTAATTTTGTATCCTGCTACTTTACCAAATTCATTGATTAGCTCCAGTAGTTTTCTGGTAGCCTTTAGGATTCTCTATGTATAGTATCATGTCATCTGCAAACAGTGACAGTTTTACTTCTTCTTTTCCAATTTGGATTCTTTTATTTCTTTTTCTTCTCTGATTGCTGTGGCTAAAACTTCCAAAACTATGTTGAATAAGAGTGGTGAGAGTGGGCAACCGTGTCTTGTTCCTGATCTTAGTGGAAATGCTTTCAGTTTTTCACCATTGAGGACGCTGTTGGCTGTGGGTTTGTCATATATGGCCCTTATTATGTTGAGGAAAGTTACCTCTATGCCTACTTTCTACTGGGTTTTTATCATAAATGAGTGTTGAATTTTGTCAAAAGCTTTCTCTGCCCCTGTTGGATGATCATATGGTTTTTCTCCTTCAATTTGTTAATATGGTTTATCACATTTATTGATTTGCATATATTGAAGAATC